CCTTTTTTTTTTTTTTTTTTTTTTTTTTGAGAGAGAGGGGTGGTGGTCAAACCATTGCAAAGGTGTCCCACGTGGCCTGCAGCTTCCCCAGACCTCTGTCAAACAGGGAGAAAGGGCCTGAGGAGACTACACGTCCCAGCGTGCTGTGCTCCTTCGTGATGTGAGCGGCCACACGCTGGAACCTGTAGCCTCCCAGGGGCCCTCTCTTTGTATTAAATATGAGGGTGGCTGTAACCTGCTTAATTTTATGCCAATTAGCAGCAGCCCGTGGGGATCCTGGAAAATCGCCAATGCAATCACTAGGTTGCACAAAGTTTGGATGTCCCCTCCTTATAAGTCATGTTTATAGCAACCCCTTCTCAAGCAACCCCACTGGCAGTTATTTCATGGGATTCAAGAATAACCAGGTTGATCGGATTAAGAAAGGTTTATTTATTCTTGCATTTGCATTTTGCTTTACGATCAGAGCACTTGATCTCATGCATCTGTCACGGAAGGACGTCTCAGTTCCCGTCCAAGCTCTGTTGGTGACATGGGGCATAATTTCTCTGCATTTCCAAGTTACCCTCCCAGGTACCGAAATCACAAAGGACATGTTGTTGGAAGCTGGCCACGGCAGGGGCTCTTTGTAGGAGTGGGTGCCCACTGCATCACTAACCTGAGTTACAGTCAGTCCTCCGTGCTTCCTTGGTACAAAACCCAGCACCGTGAGTTACCAAATGCAAACCATTAGTGCAAGCTTACACAGCTGGGAAAGAAAAGTTGGACCACTTTTTTTTTCCCCCCTTTCTTCCCTTCCCAACCACGGCTATTTCAAACCTCCTCACTCCCTAATGAAGATATGGTCAAAGATCACTTAAGTGCCGGCAATCTTCCAGAGGCTTTCCCACAGTTTTCCCTGAAGGGCAAACCAGCAGTTGTGGGAAAGAGCCCTAAGCATCTCGGCACACAGAGTTACCGGACACGTCACAGACACACAGAGGCAAGTGCAGAAACAGGGAGGACATGGTTACACAGCTCCTGCTGTGGTCACGCTGAAACAAGGCTAGCTCAAGTGCTCAGACCTGGGTGCTCATCATCCTGGTTAAACCGGACGGTGAAGATGTTCTGTGTGCGTTTCCTGGCATGGAAGGGCTCCAAGGACAATGCCAGTAGCAACAATCTTCTTGCCACT